ATAGAACTGAATGACATTGCACAGCAACACAATATTAAGTGCTGTGATAAGCCACATCAGCAATAGCAGCCTTAAAGTTAAGACAAGTGAGAGACGAGTATGAGTTTGAATTTCCTGGAAAAGAAAGGATGTGAGCTGGCTTGGAATGACAGTGAAAATATGAATAGCTGGAGAAGAAGCACAGACCATTTCAAGCCAGGAAAACACTATACACAATAATTCAGAAATGACTGAACAGTATTTACAGGAAACAAGAAAAGAATTGCTCCAATGAGAATAGAGGCTTCCTGGAAGGGAAAAGTGAGACATTTGGTAGTATATTATAAGGCTGCACCCAAATAAAAAAGGTCTTGAATACTAGCCTGAGGAGTAATGACTATTTCTGAGAGGCAGTGTCCATTCATTCATAGTGTTTGAAATACTAGTGTGTTATAATCAGTGAGAAAGTTTGAGGTGGAGTTACAGCTAGATATCCAGGAATTGGGTATAACCTTTTTGAAGAAAAAATCTTTAGACAAATTAAATTTAACCAAGTTTAATTGAGCAAAGAACAATTCACAAATCGAACAGCCCCCAAAGCCAGAATAGGTTCAGAGCAGCTCCAGCGCTGTCACATGGTTGGTTAACATTTATGGACAGAAAAAGGAAAGTGACATACAGAAAATGGAGGTGAAGAACAGAAACAGAGAGTAAAATAGCGGTTACCAGAGGCCGGGAGGGCAGAAGTTGTGGACTTGAGCCCAAAACCACATAAAGTTTTCATAAGAAAAAAAAAACTACATGTTTAGCTTATAAAAATACATGCAAAAATTCTGCAGAAAAATATTAGCAATCCAAATCCAGCTATGTATAAAAAAGGTAATACAAGTGTACTTCAAAAAGTTCATGCAAAGATTCATATTATCTTTTAATTCTATTTTTCCAGGAACTTTTTGAAGTATCCTTGTATATCATAACCATGCTGAGTTTTAACCCAGTAAAGCAACATTAAAAAATTAATCACGATAATTCATTATATACCAAATTAAAAGACAGAAACCCTATGATCAAGAAATGTCAAAAATTAATAAAATTCGGGGCCGGCCCGGTGGCGCACTGGATAGTGCGCCGCTTGGGAAGCGCAACGGCGCTCCCGTCCGAGGGTTCGGATCCCATATACAGACCGGTTCCCGCTCACTGGCTGAGCGAGGCGCGGGAGCAACACCGAGGCTTGCGATCCCATTGCCGGTCCCTGGTCCGGTACGGGGGCAACACTGAGGGTTGTGATCCGTTGCCGGACACGGAAAAAAGACAAAAAGACAAAAAAAAAAAAAATTAATAAAATTCAATAGCCATTTATTTTTCAAATCTTATCAAAACAGGAATAGAAGGGAACTTTTAAAAACTTGATAAATGATATCTACAGAAAATATATAGCAAGCATCATTCTTAATAATAACATTTTAAAAGCATTCCCATTAAAATAGGCAATAATGCCTATGGTGGTTGTTTCTATTTAACATTGTACTAGAGATTCTATTTTATTTAATAATTCAAAAGAAGTATAAAGATTAGAAAGAAAGGGGCCAGACCGGTGGCGCACTGGATAGTGCGCCGCTTGGGAAGCGCGGCGGCGCTCCCGCCCGAGGGTTCGGATCCCACATACAGACCGGTTCCCGCTCACTGGCTGAGTGAGGCGCGGGAGCAGCACCGAGGGTTGCAATCCCGTTGCCGGTCCCGGTCCGGTATGTGGGCAACACTGAGGGTTGCGATCTGTTGCCGGACACGGAAAAAGACAAAAAAAAAAAGAAAGAAAAAACAAAGCTGCCATTATTAACAAACAATATGACTGTCCGCATAAAAAATCCCCAAAGAATATACAAATTATTAGGGATAACAAGGGACTTTAAGATATGACTGAATACAAAATCAATTTACAAAGCTACTGAATTTCTAATAACCAGCAACCAATGGTTAGAAAATATCACTTGTAATAGCAACAAAAAATATATTCAAAAATAAATTTAATTAACAAAAGATGTGCAATGCTTACATTGATAATATAAAATTTTATTAAAGGATATTAAAGAATTCCTAAACAAACAAACAAAATACCATGTTATAGGAAAAAACTCACTGTTGTAAAGATATAAATTCTCCTTCAAATGATCTATAGTTTAAATTATATTATGTTCAAAATCCCAGTGGGTTTTTTGTGGAACTTAACAAGCTGCTTCTAAAATTAATGTGGAAAAGGAGAGTGAAAATATGGCCAATAAGAAGCCAAACATTTGGACAAACTCCCAGCCAGATATCAAGATTTATTATAAAACTGTAATCATTAAGACTGTGTGGCTCTTGTACAGAGATAGTCATGTAGACAAATGAAGCAGAGTAGAGACACCAGACACAGACCCTTGAATATTCGGAAAACTGATATTTCACAGAGATGGCACTGCAGATCCTGGGGATAGGTGGCATTATCAGATTAATTGTGCAAAAACTATCTGCTATCCAAAAAGATGTAAAAAGATGAGCCATAGACAAGCCACAAACAGGGAAAATTCATGTAACCGTGTGAGGATTAAAATCCAGATTAAATTTATTTTTTAAAGAATCCTCCTACAAATCAATAAGAAACAAATAGAAAAATGGGCAGAGGATTTAAAAGTCATTTCACAGAAGAAATATAAGTGGCCAATAACCATACAGAAAGATGTTTAAATTCATTAGTAGTCTGTAAAATTCATATTAAGAACCCAGTGAGATATCTATACCCACTCAATTGGCATTGTTAAGAAGTTTGATAGTACAAAGTGTGACAAGGATATGGATCAGTAAGAACCCTATTATTGGTAGTGAAAATTGGTGTTAGTTTTCTTGTAGCTATAACAAATTAATACAACAAAACCCCACAGATAATAATACCTT